TATATCACATAAGCATATAGCCTCATGGTAAGCATGCTATCATGGCAGTCACTCACACGCATGCAAGAATGCTAAAGCATAAAACTTACCGAGTACTCCAAGCCAAAACAGAAGCTAATTAGAAATCCATGCATGATCCTAATTATACGGAAATGCCAAATGCAACACATGTAAAAATGCAACTATAGCAGGCTCGGCTATTCTAAACATGGCATATGAAATGCTACAGCTAACATGTATTCAACTTGGAATTGAAAATACAATGCAGTTAGCATGATGCGCCGAGCCCGGTGCATGCTAGACAGATGAATGAATGCAAACGTGCTATCATACTGTATGCTAATTGAAACATGCCCTAATCTAACCATCATAAGCGGGTAAATAAAAGGGAGAAAGACGTGGGTTTAGAAGACTTACATCACACACACGCACACTTATTACAGTTGTGCCCTCACTTGGAGGGTCCGAATAAATAATATATAGTCCTAAATGAATAATTACAGTCCAAATATGTACAAAACCCTAATTAATTAACAAATTAAAATAGGAAAGCAATAAATTGGCATGCAAGCCAGGGACTGCCTCAAATCTGCTCCGGATGATGAATGATGCATGCTCGAGTTGCCTTGTGCGGAGAATCCCTCGCGATGCCCCGGTTTGCCTCTGTTTGCAATTGTTCTCAGAATGCGTGTCAAGCTTCGAAAGGCTGTCGATTTCTGATTTGCTACAACAGAAAGCAACAAAGGGGCATGGCAAAGTATTTTCACATATGTATGCATGGCTACTCTTCGGGGAGTGTAGTCCTCGGTCCTCGTGCCACCAATCACGCATATCGATGCATGATGGCCGAGGAGTCAAATTGCACAACTCAATATGAAATGAATGCACATATAAACACAACAAAACCTAAACTCCATCATGGATAATCCGGAGTGTCGGTGACTGGGAATTGAGACACGTTCCGTCACTCGAAGTACGAAACGTTCCTCGTTTCCCGTGCTCGGGCTAACTCCTATCCCAAGCACAATTGAATATGCATGACATGTATGAATGCAACTAATATACAACCTAGCATGCACAATGCTATGAGATGGCATACACAATGCACGATGTAACAAGGCATACGCAATGCTCTAACATACAACCTAGCATACGCAATGCTATAAAATGAAATGGCATACACAATGCACAATGGACTTACACCAACATGAGTGGACCTCAGCCACACTCACATTAGTAGCCACAAGATGAAAAATGAGACACTCGAAATGCGTGCACCCATGTACGCAAACCGAGGACCGATCCTAAGGCACAAATGCCACTCTAGCAAGGCATGGCAAGGCACGAAATATGGCATACAAACATGCAAGTTTCAGCACTGAAATGTGATGCAAAATGACCCCGAAACATGGAAACATGGCACCCGATGCATGGAATGGCCCCGAAACACAAAACTAGGCATACGCATTGGCCTATAGCTATACAAAGAATGCATTATTTTATCATGAAGCATGAAGACAGATGAAAGAAAGTCCCAAAACATGCATATTTCCAGTTTATAACAGGCCTCAAAAATGAACACAAATAGGGCTAACCTATCATGCAAAAGAGGCCCTAAAAGAGAGGTTAAACATGAAGGGACAGCAGGTGGCCCCAAATGGCAAAGAGCCCTTCAACAAAGTTGAAGAGGGGTTCAAAAAAAGGCACTTTACAGTCTAAATCAAGCCACGAAAATAATCACAAATAAGGCAAAACTATCATGCAAGAAAAGGCCTAAAAGAGAGATAAAAGAGAAAGTGATAGAAGGAGGCCTCAAACAGAGGAGAGCCCTTCAACAATGTTGAAGAGGAGCTCAAAAAAAATATATTTTACAGTTTATGGAAAAGTCCAAAACAACTCAAAAATAGGCCTAAAATACTATGCAAGAATTGGCCTAAAAGAGAGATAAAGAAGTAAGTGATAGCAGAAGGACTCAAACTGAGGAGAGCCCTTCAACAATGTTGAATAGGGGCTCAAAAAAAGCTATTTTATAGTTTATGGAAAAGTCCAAAACAGCTCACAAACAGGCCAAAAATACTATGCAAAAATAAGGCCTAAAAGAGAGTTAAAGAAGCAAGTGATAGCAGGAGGCCTCAAAGAGAGAAAGACCCTTAATCAAACATGAAAAGGGGCTCAAAATATGACTATTTACAGTTAGGGTCGGAGCCCAAAAATGCAAGAAACTAAGGCTTATATACAAAGAAAAAAAAGACTAGAAAATGGAAGAAAGTGACTCACCCTTGTAGACCAATGCTCTAACAACTTTTGAGCCAAGTTTGGGAGTTCTTCACCTCTGGAAAGCAGCCTCAAGTTGCTGGAATGGAGGATGGAGGTGTGGTGCTATGAGGTGGTGTAGAAATGGTGTAGGAGCAAGGTGGTTTAGAGGGTTGGAATAGAGGGAGAGAGAGATTGAGTGCAAGGGCTCAAGACCAAATTTTTGTAACCTCCCAAAATGCAGCTGAGGGGCTAGTTATATAGGCAAAGGAGGGGAGGAAAAAGGGGGGAAAATGAATTCAAATTTCTCCCCCAAAAGGGCACCCCCTCGGATATAGGATCTGGGGGGAAAAAGAGGTCACAACTGGAAGGAACAGGGAGTGGGGGTCACAGCCGGCCAGGTTTTGGGGGTTCAGGTGGTCGGCCGACCACCTCCCATGGCCGGCCGACCAAGGGTCAAAGGGGTCAAGCAAAATTACTGGTCGGCCACCTCAAAAAGGTGGCCTCCCATGTGTGCACAACACAACTAAGTGGTTGAAATTCAGAAAAAGTGAACCAGGAGAGAGAAAAGACCATTTTTTAGAAGGGGTCAAAAGCGTCAGGAACAATTACTGGTCGGCCACCAAATATTGGTGGCCTCCCAGGTGTGTACAACACAAATATGGGGTTTAGGGTTCAAGAAAGTGGCTCCAGGGTGGTCAACATTGGCTTTCAAGTGAGGAAAACGGGCGTCGGAGAGCGATGAAGAAATAAAACTAATTTTTTGGAACAATTGCTGGCCTCGCACCCTCCTACAAGCTTCTTAACTATGAAAATAAGGTCTCCACCAAAAATGAACCAAAACGGATGCAAAACGGAGGTTCGGGGACCGAAACGCGCGGCCCGAGGCCCCGAAAATGGGCTGTTAAGCACCGGAGGTGGCGTTTGACCACGAAGTTGGTCTCTCAGGCCACAGTGTTCCTCAAAAGGGAGGAAATAAGGTGTATACCAAAAACCGGAGCAAACGGAGGTGGTTAGGTCGTCCCGAACCGAGGCACACGGCCATCGGCTCCGAAAAATCGGAAACCAGGCTCCAAATGGGAAAAATGGCCTACGACCGCGAAACGTAGCCTACGGCCACTGAGAGATGGTCTACGAGACCTCTCCCTCCCTCTAGGAAGAGAAAGCAGAGAAAACAGAGCTTGGTTCGCAAACCGAGGCAAGGCGCGAAAGAGTCCAGAAGTCCAGAGGCAAGGCTCGCAGCCGAGACTCTGAAACTTCTGAACGAGCACTATATGCAATATCACCGAGCGCTCAACTAGTGACGTCTGAGTCTTAAGGTCGGTCAAAAATGGGGTGTCTACAGTTGCCCCTCTTTGACAGAACTCGGAAGTCATAAGTGACGGGAGTGAATGTCAATGCCTAGAGACGACCTATTTTTGACACGGCCGAAGACTTAGACAAACAGGCAAGACAAACAGAGATGTGCCCGCAGGCATGCCCGCAGGCAGGGGCAAAATGCAACCGACAATGCAAGAAGCTGAAGGTATCTCAATGATCATGCAAATGCAGCAAGCTGTAATGAAGCACATATTCACAATAGATGCAACAGTTTTAAGCAAGAATGCAAAGCAACAACTACATTTCATGCAGTTTAAGAATGCGGAGAATTATTCAATTCTCGCCACGTCTCACACGGAGAAGATACAATACCTGCGCAGTTCGTCTGGTCGCGCCAGCCTCAAATGAACCGTACATACAATATCTTGCCCTGAAAAGAGAGAGACTCAACAAGCACAACATTGTTAACAACATGTTTTCAAAACGCTATTGAATGCAGACAATCGCGGCGTTGATAGAAAAGTGCATCGCAATGCGAGGAGTAGTGCGCGTGACAACGTGGGTTAAGCATGAGGGTATGACAACACCCGTGAAACGTGCCCAATAGTATGAGTGGTGTGCATGAGAATGCAAGTGACGTGCATAACAATGCAGAGCAAGTGCAAACTAGAATGCATGTTTGTCATGAAACGACAAGCGAAGAAATGCAAGTTTTTGATGAGGGCAACTCAATCGCGACCTCCGGTTTACCTCCCGAAGGGGTCGCAACGTGTTCAAAAAGGATACATCTTACTTTTGACGAGCAATGATGACAGATGCACTGAAAGTTGGAGTTGACGTTCCGGCGGCGTGACTTTGCGACGGAAAGTGCACTTTTCTTGTACTTTTTTAGGTCCCGGGGACTCCAATCCTTCCCAAAATTTGCAGAGAGCTTGGTGGGTGCTTGGGGAACACCACCGACCAGGTCTTGTCCCAGGGAGAGGCCACCGACCAGCTTTTTGCAAAGGGGGTGGTCGGCCTGCCACAAAAGGTGGTCGGCCGACCACTTAGCCCAAATCCGGGGCAGTTTAGTCTTTTTGCTCCTATTTCTTTAAATACACTCGGCCAAACACCTTTTCCTCACAACTCCAACTCCGAAATCAGTCCCTCTCCCTTCCTAGAGCATTCTCCCTCTCAGATCTGCGCTCTATACGCGTTTTCCAACGCTCCACGCAAGTTGTTTTCGCAAAATCTTTCAGTTTTCATCACTTTGGACCGATTAAATTTTGATTTCGGTGCTTCTTTTCTCATTTTCACCACTTGAGGTAAGTTTTTCTCAACATTTGGAAGATTTTCTCAAGGGTTGACTTTGGTTGACTTTTTCATTTCCCGAGAGTTGACTTTTGTTGACTTTTTCCAATTTTGGCTCATTTTGCTCATTTTTGCAGATTTCTTGAAATGGCGGGTCACTTTCCCCATGGCGGAGGTTCTCCAGGCGCCGGAGGCGAGCCTGACATCATGTCTTTGCATCCGAGGGTTCGCCCCTTTATACCTGAGAGGTACAATCCTTCGACTCATGTCCTCCCTCGGGCTATTTTTTATCACTTCACTGATTTCGATGATCGAGCGCCTAGGGATCTGCTTTTGCGAGAGCCAGAGTCTCACCTCTCTCATGAGGAACGAGAGGTATTTATTTCACCCTTTTTTACATTTCTGCAACGTATTCCGCATTTTTGTATGTTTCATGCCTTTTGCTATGCATATCTGCTCCCTTTAGCACGTAGCTTGTTCTGACGCTTAGCCCATGGTAGAGTATTCTGTTTGCATTTTGTACGCTTGAATTTCTGATCACGTAGCCTATGACCTGATGGTGAACACACAGCACACATATATGTTGACAGTTGAACACACAGCCCAAACTCTGAATTTCTGAATACGCAGCCCAAGTTAATAGTGAACACACAGCACACACTTGTTGAGAGTAGAACACACAGCCCAAACTCTGAATTTCTGAACACGCAGCCCAAGTTGAGGTGAACACACAGCCCACTGATTTGTTGAGAGTAAAACACATAGCCCGAACTCTGAACTTTTGAACACGCAGCCCAAGTTGAGGTGAACACACAGTCCACACTGATTTGTTGAAATCTAAACACACAGCCCAAACTCTGAATTTCTGAACACGCAGCCCAAGTTAAGGTGAACACACAGCACACTGATTTGTTGAAATCTGAACACACAGCCCAAACTCTGAATTTCTAAACACGCAGCCCACGTTAAGGTGAACACACGGCCCACTGATTTGTTGAAATCTGAACACACAGCCCAAATATTTTGATGTTGAACACTCGGCTCGGACTTTGAGGTGAACACACAGCCCACATATTTTGATGTTGAACACTCGGCTCGAACTTTGAGGTGAACACACAGGCCACTGGTTTTGAAATCTGAACACACAGCCCAAACTCTGATGTTGAACACTCGGCTCGAATTTTGAGGTGAACACACAGTCCACTGGTTTTGAAATCTGAACACACAGCCCAAATATTTGAATTCTGATTTGATCCTGCATATAGCTTATACATTTCATTTGCACGCAGCTTGTATATCTCATTTACACGCAGCTTGTTTATTTCATTTGCACACCGCTTGTTTATTTCATTTGCACGCAGCTTGTTTATTTCATTCTGAAACTGAATATATGTATTCACCGTGAATGCAGGTGTCGTCCCGTGTTACACGGGGATACGGCTCCATCGTTGCAAGAGAGTGGTACGCGGAGCTCCCAGAGGCCGTCCGCGATTGGGTTGACCTAGCAGGATTCAACCCCTTTTGTGCCGGGATATCTCGTCATCCAGCTAGCAGGACGTTGATGGGCGCCCTGGTGGAGAGGTGGTGGGACACCACCAACTCTTTTCATTTCTCATCCACCGGGGATATGACCATGACCCCGTTTGACTTTGCCGTATTGACTGGCCTTGACGTGGGAGGTTGGGCGATCCCATATGACGAGGACATGGGCCAGTGGGAGGCTGCTTGGATCTTCTTACTGGGAGCTCGTCCACTGGTCGACCGATCCTCGGGCCGAGTCCGGTACACTTGGTTTTCTTCCCATTCTAGGCATACTGAGCCCGAGACTCTGGAGGAGATTACACAGTACGCCCGCGAGTTTCTGATGTTCCTCTTCGGGACCACTCTGTTCTCCGACAGGGGGAACACCGTTGGGCTATATCTGCTGGGTGCCCTGGCAGACCTCACACAGGTTAGTCGGTATGATTGCGGTGGCACCAGCTTGGCTACCCTTTATTGTTATATGAGCGCGACCTCCCGCGGACGGGAGAACACCGTCGGCGGCTACTGGAGAGCCTGGGAGGTACCTTCTACCCTCTTGATTTAAATTTTTGCTTTTCAATGTATGTATATTGTACACACGGCACACTTTATACTCTGTCCTGACATCCTGCACTCAGCATTCTGTATTCTGATGGCTTCTGCCCCGTTTTCCGCAGTTATGGGTTTTTGCATATTTTCCCATACTAGCGCCAGAGCTGGAGGTGGAGGCGCCCCTTGTGACCCTCTACTCTCTTGTTTTCGAGGGCCAGTACCGGCCGCGGCCTCGGGAGACCCTTCTCTACCTACGGCAGTACTTTGACACGATGCGGCCGTCAGAGGTAATCCAAAACTCCCAATTCCCAATGCTCTCATCTTTCGTTTATTCCGTACATCTACAATTTCTTATCAGCCTATGCATTGGTTGTCCGCAGATTGCCTGGCAGCCCTGGTTACCTTTGGGTGGGGACCTTCGATTTCAGTTTGCCGGAGGATGGGGCTCTTCCCGGTATAGGATTTTGTTCGAGGGGCCAGTTAGTAGGGCCTGGTTCCTGGGGGAACGCTTCCTTCGTCAGACTATGGGCTTTCCTGAGTTAATTGTCTATAATATTTAATTAACTTGATAGTTAGTTAAATTGTATTATTCTTTCGGTCCCCCCGAGCGAGGGCAAATTTGTAATAAGTGTGGGTGCGTATGTGCATGTCTTCCAACCCCCATTTCTTTCTCCCTTTTACTTACCTGCTTTGATGGTTAGTACTAGGGCATATTTAACTTAGCATCCTTATGCTATGCATGCGTGCATCATTCATCAGTATTACATGTACCGGGCTCAGCGCATCATACTAACTGCATAGTATTTGTAGACACCCCATTTTTGACCGTCCTCAAGACTTGGACGTCACCGCTTGAACACTCAGTGATCATCCATGTTTGTGTTCATCTTGAGTTCCCGGAGGTCTCGGCTACGCGCCTTGCCTCAGGATCTCTCGACTCGGCTGTTTTGTGTCTGGTTTTGCACCAAACACTTGTGCTTTGCCTTGGAGGGGCAGGGAATGGCTTGTGGGCCATCCCCACACTCCACCAGCCATGGCTTGAGGCCACCGGCTGTGTTTTGTTGGCCGGCCGGCACTATAGATGGCCGGCCGGCTATATTTTTTGGTCAATTGCATTTTTGGCCCGGCCGACTACTGTGCATCTGCTTTTGCAGATATTTTTGTGCAGCTGGCATACACTGTCACACCCTCCATACACGTGTATGGAGGGATTGCCTTCTTGTTAGCTTCCTTTGGAAGCTTTACAAGACTAATTGTCTATAAAGGAGAACCTCTTCTCTCTTGTTCAAGGGTTAGACAACTTAGACAATATTTTCAGAGCTTGTGCTTTAGGGTTAGGGTTTACATATATCCTCTATCTCTATCTCTATCTCTCTCTCTCTCTCTCTCTCTTGTGTTTAGTGTGTGTTTAGTCTTATTTTTGCGCACAAACAACCATCATCACACCTTTTCTTAGTTGCTGAGGTACCAGACGTCTTTCCTTGAAGCTTTTGGACTGGTTTGGAACCAAAAGAACTGCTGGAACATTGTTTGTGAAGAGGGTCTACAAGGGTAAGACTTTTGTCCCTTTTTACCCCATTTTTGCAAAGCTTTTTAGCCTATCTTGCATCTGTTTTTGAGCTTAGCATATAACATATAAAAGTCTTGTTTTTGTCTGCTCTAAATAGTTTGTTAAGGGTGTTTTAAGCTTTGGGGTTGTTTGACCCCTCTTAAGGCTTGTTTGGCCTTTGTTTTGTGCCATTTTGGTTGAGCTCCGGGACCATTGTGTTTGGGCCTCCTCACCACTGAAATCTTGAGGGATTTCAGAGGTGAGGATGGTGCCTTGAGGTCCTAGGAAGGAGAGGGCCACCCCCCTCTCCTTGTCAGTGAAAGGGCTATTTTTTGCCTCTTGGAGCATCCTAGTTTATAGTGTGTGTTAACCATGCGCTTGACTGATATTTATGGTTATTTTTGCCATGAAATAGCATTGTGTTGAGTTTTGTTTTGGCTACACCATGCTTGTTAGCATACATTGCCTTGTAATGCCATGATTTGCCTTCAATGCATGCAATAGCATTTAGACTACCATTGCTCATGTGTTCTGGCTAGAGCTTTGTGAAGCTTATAATAGCATATTTTGAGATGTGCTAGGGGACCTGTGTTTAGGTTTTTTAGTCAATTCATGTTCTTGCTTTGTTAATAGGCTTACCATGGCAATCCCTCTTAATTTAAGCTTTGGCTCTACTAGAGGCCCATCTTACGTTTATTTCAGTGGTTTGACACCACTTATAGCATCATTTCAGTCCTCATGACATGCTTGCATGCTTGCCTTTGATGCCTCTTTGATGCCTTATGAGGTTGTGCCTTATGCTCCATGTTTGGTCATTGTGCATGCCCTTGAATTTAAGTCATTTAGATGCTATCTAAGTGGTCTTTAGGCTTTGTTTTAATATGCTAAAACTCTGTTTTTGGTCATTTAATTCATGCCATGTTTGGTTTTGCTAAGGGTAGTTCAATACCTCCCTAGCTTGCCTTGAGTTTTGGACCTCTAATTGCATGCTTATGCTTGTCTTGTTGGCTTGGTTTGGCACCATTTTAACATGATTTCAGAGCTTATGTTGCATGTCATTAGTCCATGTTTTTGTGCTTACAAGTTGTCTTCATATGCTTAAGTGTTGGACCATATTTGCATGTATGCGTGTGTGTGTGTTGGACCTCACTTCCATAGTATTGGCCACTGATTTTGGCAAGCTTGCAAGCTACCCATGTTAGTTTAAGCCCACCTATTTGCATGTTGTTTCATGCCAACCTTGTATGTTGTTGCATATTTGTGTGTTGTTGCATGATTGAATGAAGTCACATGCTTGCTTGCATGCTCGAACACCCACATTGCGCCTTGTTAGTTGCATTGTCTCATGCCCTATGTCTTGCATGACCATTGTATACCTTGTATGCTTCTTAGCATTGTCCATGTTGCATACGAGTCGACATGCTTAGGATTGCATTGCATTGGCATGCATGCTTCGCCTCTTGAATTGCTAGTGATAAAGGTTGAGTTCAATTTGCTTGATTATGTGCATTGCATTCCATATCAACATGCACACTTGATTCTTTGGGCCATCATGCATGGAAATGCGTGATTGGTGGCTTGAGAATCGAGGCCCATCCTCCTTTGAGTCATAAATATGATAAGGAGTGTGGTCGGTGCATACATTGCTTGAAATGCATTGCCATGCCAAGTTCTGTCCTCTACTACTGTCAAACCAGTTTTTGCAGGAAGATTTGGCCGGCCGGCCATCTTAAGTGCCGACCGGCCATCCATTTTTGGCTGATGGATTATTTTGTGGCCGGTGACCATCATACATGACCGGTGACCAATCCCTTCAGCCGGTGGTGTTCTACAATACTCAGAGAAGCAACATTGGGACTTGTGCAGTCTTCAGAGGAGGATAACAGCCAAAGCAGAGGCATTTTGTGCATGGTGGTGACTTTTCGAGCGGAACCGAGCGCGCATGCATTGGACCCTCTTCCCGAGGCTGTTGTTTACTGCTTAATTAGATTAGTTAATTTGCTTAGCTAATTTAATTGGTTTGTAATATTTAATTAGCTTGTAGGTTAATTAAATTGAATTATTCTTTCGGTCCCTCCGAGCGAGGGCAAATTTGTAACAAGTGTGGATGCGTGTGTGCATGTCTTCCAACCCCCACTTCTTTCTCCCTTTTATTTACCTGCTTTGGTGATTAGCATTAGGGCATATTTACTTTAGCATACCTTATGCTATGCATGCGTGCATCATTCATCAGTATTGCATACACTAGGCTCGGCGCATCATACTAACTGCATAAGTATTTCAAATCTAACTTGAATACATGCTACTTGTGCATTTTTACATGTCATTTATAGACTAGCCGAGCCTATTCTAGTGACATACCATATGCGTTGCATTAGGCATTTAAACATAGACTTGGATCATGCGTGATTGCTAACATGTTCTTGTTTTGGCACGGAGTACTAGGTGAGCTCTTTATGCTTTAGCATACTGCATGCATGTGAGTGTTGCCATAATAGCATGATTACCATGAGGTTAGCTGCTTATGTGATATAACTACTTGAATGCCTGTGGATGGAGGTTGAATTGACTAAATTGTGATAACGCATTAAAACAGTGAGTTTTGAGCCCACTAGATAGTGGCAAAACCATCTTTTCTAAAGCCCACTTGAGAGTGGCAAAACCTGCATTTTAGCCTACTTACGAGTAGCAAACCATTTTCGAAACAAGCATGAAATGTTTTGTTCCAATTTAGGCGATTTGGTCTATACTTGTTTGCTGTGCGCATAACATAGTAATTTTAGGCTAATAACCGGAATAAGAACATATAACGTTTTCAAAAACGGATATCACGGTTAGTAGAGGCCGATCTTCGGATCGGGCGAGAGGGGGTGCTCATAGCTAACCTTCCCCAATCGTACCCAAGCTCCCGAGCCGAGGCAACTTTGGTGATGACGGACACGTGGCCTTTGGCACCGAGTCAGGGTTTCCTAAATTCCCCATAAAAAATATTTAGGTGGCGACTCTGTATCTGGCAAAGCAGTCCATGTTTGGCACTTCTTTTCTACAAATCTGTTTTCCAAAACGATTTGCCAGATCTGAACTCTTTCATGATTCATCGGTCTTGCATTGCACTCTGCGAGATTAGATACAGGACCGTGACACCAATTGAGTCCGAACTGTAGCATGAGGCCCAAGGGCACGTCTACAGTATTTCAAATCGAACTTGAATACCTGTTATCTGTCGCATCTCACATGCCATTCGTAGATTAGCCAAGCCTATTCTAGTGACATTTTGTATGAGATACATTAGCCACCTTAACATGAATTAGGATCATGCATATGATTACTAACTAGTTCACTGTTCTGGCACGGAGTACGATGTAAGTATTTATGCTTTAGCATCTCACATGAGTGTGAATGTTAACATGATAGCATGCTTACCATGTGGCTATATGCTTATGTGATATAACTGCATGAATGCCTGTGGGTAAAGGTTGGATTGTTTGAATTGGGATAATTCATCGAAATTCGTATTTTAGTCTACTCGCGAGTAGCAAAATTCAAACCATTTTCCAAACAAACGGAAATGCGATGCTTTGTTCCGACTTAGGCAATTCAGTCTATACTTGTTTTGCTGTACGCATCACGTAGTAAATCTAGGCTAATAACCGGAATAAGACCGCATAATGTTTTCAAAACAAGATATCATGGTTAGTAGAGGCTGATCTTCGGATCAGGCGAGAGGGTGTGCTCGTAGATGACCTTCCCCAATCGTACCCAAGTTCCCGAGCTGAGGCAACTCTGGTGATGACAGACACGTGGCCTTAGGCAAACGAGTCAGGGTTTTCTAAATTTCTCCAAAATAAAATATTTAGGTGACGACTCTGTATCTGGCAAAGCAGTCCAGGTTTGGCACTTCTTTCTAAAAATCTATTTTTCTAAACGATTTGCTGGATTTTGGACTCTTTGGTTCAGATTAAGAACCGTGACAATTTGAGAGTCCGAACTGTAGTGAGCCCAATATAAACAGAACGGCGGGGGGAGGGGATCTCC